GGGACATGGCTCTGGGGTTATATTTGTATCTGGTCAGTGGAGTCTCCGTGCTTCCTGATCCCCACGTGAGCCGCTTCCCTCCCCCCACTCTTCCCCCATGGGGGTCAGCCTCCCCTTGGGCCCTGAGGAATGGACCTGGCTGTGTGTGGACTGACACCTCTGCCACCGTGAGCCCCAGGTAAACGTTTCCTCCTCTGAAATTGTCCTGGTCCAGTCTTTAGTCAGAGCAGCAGAGGAAAACCAGAGGGGCAGCGTGGGGTGGGCATGGCCAGCGCAGGGGTGGGGGTTGTTGCAGGGGGCAGTATGAGTGGTGAGGAAGAGGTGCTGGGTGGACCCTGAACCTCAGGCTGCTGGTGGGCCATAGACCTCCTCAGGATTTGCATACAGCACTAGAGTTCTCAGGCATAGATATGTCCAGGCCCAACAAGATGTGGCCTCAGCCTGTCACCATTGACCAGCACACACCTGACGCAGTGTCACTGAGTGGTGCAGTGACCAGGAGTCCTCACACGACCTCAGGACACAGAGGGAGACACAGAGACCACAGTGTCAGGGTTGGCCAGGCCACCCATTGTTTAATGTCATCTGGGAGGGGCCCAGCAGGGCAGGGACCAGGGTCTGGCACCCGAGGTGGCTACTGTTGTGTGGGGTTCACCACCTTCCCCACAAAGAGGGGGCTCTTGGTGGAGTGCTCATAGATGACCACGAGGAAGGGCCTGTTGAATTTCACCTCAGGGGGAAGTGACACGGGCATGATTCCCATAACCGTGGTCCCCGCAGCCTCTGTGCCTCTCTCATCGATGGTCAGCACAGCCTTATGCAGGGCCTGGAGGGGAGAGAAGCAGAGGGGCCCTGAGGTCCTGCTGCCCCACCCCAGGCTGCAGCAAGGCCCCACGTGGGAGCCTCCTACCAACAGGACCTCACCAGGGCCTTCCTGCTGGACCAGCCTGTCCTGTCCTAGGCTCCCTGTGGGTCACTCAGGTCCCCCCACCCATCTCAGCCTCTGCCTGACTCAGCCTGCTCCCTCCCCCTCCTTTCCTGACCTCCATCTCTCTGGCCATTCGATGTGACCTCAGGGCACAAGAGGAAGACCACCAGCCTCCATGTCACCTCCAATGTATCCCCTCCCCCTGTAGGGCTAGGAGGTCCTCTATAGGGACTCCGGTAGTGWCCTTCCCAGTGCCCAGACCCCTATAGGAAGCCACCCACATGGACCTACGATTGCTCTTGGTCTCCTCCTGGTTTCCCCAGCATGTGGCCCACTGGACTCAGGAATGATTCAGATTACTGGTTCACAAGTAGCTCTAATGTCACAGACGGAAGATTCCAGAACATTCTATGAAGGCTCTGAGCCTAAGCCTTTCCTTGTTAATGTGGGTAAAAAGAAGCCCAAGGCCTCAATAGCCCTGGGGAAGGAACAGGCCAAGGGTCAGTGGGCCCCTGAGGAGAGGTCCCTGGAAGGCCAGCAGCACAGGAGGCCACTCCCGGGCTCTGTGTTCCCCCACCCCATGAGAGCTGGTGAATCTCTGCATCCTCAGGAGGACTCAGCAGGCCCTTGTTGTGTCCCTTGTTGTGTCCCTTGGCCCTTCCCTCAGCCTCAGGCCTGAGCAGGTGTCCCCCACTCACTCTGGCCTGCAGACCCCTGGACCATGGCCATTCTCACCTTGGAGACCCTCAGGGGAGCGTCCTCTGTGATCCCAGACAGGTCAGCCGCGTTGCTGAAGAGCTTGGTGATGCCCAGACTTGTCAGGACGGGCTTCAGATGGATGGTTTCAGAGATGTTCACTTTGGGGAAGTACAAATCGACTCTCCTGGTATGAAGATAGGTGATGAGGGGGTTTCACAGCATCTTGGGGGTCCAGTTGGGCCCCATGGTTCTGTGAAAGTGTTTTGTCTCCTGATTGGTTCTCTGGTTAGTGCCCTGTCCCCACCCACTGTATTGGAGAAGTCCATTGGCTGGTTTTACTTTAGCTTCCTGGACACCTGGTGTGGACATCATTCCTATCAGTGGGCACACCTTGTCCTGTGGCCCCTGCACACCCCTGCCCCCAAGGAGCCTTCCAGGCAGTTTCAGGGTGTCCTCCTGGAAACAGATGACATCCCCCTTGGTCACACCAGCCTGCCCAGCCAGAGCCTTCTGGGGCCTGTGTCCAGGGTACTTTGGTGAGTTTGGCAGGACTGAGGGATAGAGGCTCAGGGAGGGAGGGCATTGTCAGCTCCATAACCCCAGGCTGCAAGCTTGGCTCCATGTTGCCAGGGATGGGACGAGGCCCAGGAGCCTGTGCTGAGGCCACATACAGGGTCCAGGGCTAGGGGACTGTGCTGTGCCTTGTGCTCTGTTTGGAACAAGGGTGAGGAGATCTCAGGAGGGCTGGGTGAGCAAGTAGTGGTGACCCAGGTTCAGCCTAACCTGGATGTGTGTCACATCTGTCTGCAGTGTGACTCCGTCACCAGTGGCCATGACTGGGCTCAGGACAGTGCACCTGCTCTGTGTCACGTACCCAGCTGTGTGGCTCCTGGGACAAGTGAACCAGCCTGAGATTCGACAGAGTAACAGAGCCTGTGGGAAGTGACCTGAGCTCCCAGCGCTGCCTGTTCCTGTTCTGGGCCTTTCCATGCAGGTGCTTCCCCTGTGCACCTCGGCCAGTCCTACAGGAAGTCCTCCCTCTTGCTGCCCTATCCTGCAGGCCCAGGATTTTGTCCTTGATTCTGCCACAACATGTGCTAGTGTCAGATCCCTGGAAAGACCCTGGATTTTGGAAGGGGACCATGTACATTCTTGGAGGGAAGTCTCCCCTCCAGCTGGATCTGTGCCCCGCTCTTTGACCACTGTCCCTTCTCAGCTGCTACCTGAGCTGAGCCCTGGCATTTCCTGTAGCACAGGGCCATTCCCTGTGAGCTGTGGCCCCAGGGATGGTCCCCCCTGCTGCCCGTGCTGTCTTCTGATGCATTGGTCCTGAGGGACCTTGAGTCTGTGCCTGTGCCCTCCAGCAGGTCCCTGCCTGGACTCACCTGCTCTCCCTGTTCTT